GACTCTCGCTCGCTAGGGTTCACGCCGCTTCACTCACGCCCCCTCCCTCCACTCTCGCGCCCTCCCGCTCCCTGTCCCCGTCATCTTCTCCGGAGGCACCCGTAGCTATTCGGTCGGTGGAGGCCGGCTCCCCCGTCGCCCTTTCCTCTGCTCCGACTGAAGGTGTTCCGCTTCGTCTACGATCCCCCCGTCCTGGTTCCCTTGATTTGTTGAGGTACTTTTCTTCATACCCGATCTATGGATTGCTTTGATTTTTATTGCGTTCCCTTGATTTGTTGAGGTACTTTTCTTCATACCCGATCTATGGATTGCTTTTATTTGTATTGCAAAAGGACGAATTATAGTCACAAAGAGAGTGCTTGCATTGCGTTGCGTCCAAACGGTGGCTAGCTGTGGGATCATATCACCACCGGCCGCTAGGGGACATGGAGAAGGAAGCTACATATCTGGATTCAGTTCAGTCGATCGGGGTTCAGAAATTAAATCAGAGACTTTAGAGATGTCCGGCCGTTTTTGTTGTCACTTTTTGGCTTTTGGCCTGCATAGCGCTGGCTGGCTGGATGAATCTGCCAAGCAGTAGTTCCAGACTCTGAGGCACTAGCTAGTACACCTGCCAGCCCCATGCATGTATGCACTCACTGACTTGTTTATTGGCTCCTTAAGACTTATATTAATAAGCAGGAATATATATAATAATGGGATCTTGCAGCAAGAACCATGCATGCATGCAGGCTTCTCCGATCCAATGCTAGTTTTGTTCTATTTTATGCTATTAATATGGCTCTCTAGATCGAGCAATGTTTTGCCAATTGGTCCCGTTTCGCTGTAGTATACTACTATATACTAGTATGTTACTAGATGAGTACCATGGCTAGGGATATGTCTGTGCAGATGTTGAATGCTTTTTGTTTTAGGAATTGGAGCTGCATTGCTTTGGTTAGGAATTTTTCTTCAAATATAATGCTGAATGCTTGTGTTTTATATATTTATTAGTCTGTAGAGATTTGAAATGGACAAGTCAGCAAAAGTTCAGGCAAAATGGGATGCTTTTTCTGCTAAGGCCTTCAATGACATTTGTGTGGAAGAAGTTCTTGCCCACAATAGGCCTGGACATTGTTTGAATAGTCTGGGCTATGCAAATCTAGTCCGAAAGTTCTTCGAACGTACCAAGAGGCCTTATAATGAGTCACAAATGAAGAATAGATGGGATACAATGAAGAAGAAATATAACCAATGGAAAACTTTGAACATGAGAGCTACTGGATTAGGGAGGAATCCTAACACTGGTTGTATTGTGGCTTCTGATGAATGGTGGGCGGAGCAAAATGCGGTGAGCATACAATCCACAAGTATTTTTCTCATATGCAAGTTGTTATGTTTTCTCTGAAAACAGCTAATTTTTTTTCATTTACTTTTCAGGCTATGTCAGGTTGTATAACATTCAGAGATAACCCACTTGAGCATGAGGACCAGCAGCGGATCATGTTTGATGCAATTAGTGTTACTAATGAGACTTCATATGTTCCTGTTGGTGGTAGTGATGCTCTCCAAACATGTCAAAGTGAGGATGCTGCTGATGCTATCAGTGAGGATGGTGTGACACCAAAGGTCACACCCACTTCAGACAAACGGGGTCAAAAAAGACCAGCCCCAATTTCACCTCCGGAAAAGAAGAAGAAGACTTTTAGAGATCAATGCATGAAGCGTTTAGTGGATGCATATGAGAAGAAGGCACAAAGTAGTAAACAGTCAGCCACTTCACATGTCATTGATCATGTTAGAGATGAGGTTACTAAAATGATTGATCAAGTCATTGAGGATGGTGCTGAGGAAGGGAGTGATGAGCATTACTATGCCACACAACTACTTATGAAGAAGGAGTATCGTGACATGTTTAGTACTTTGAAGACACCTAGTGGGAGGTTAGGATGGCTGCGAAGGGCATGGGAAGACAAGAACAAGAATTAGTGTTAGATTGAGGCAGTCACATTTATGTTTTATTTTCCAATTCCTTGTGTGAGACTATTGCTATTTTTTCCAATTCCTTGTGTGAGACTATTGCTATTTTTCCAATTCGTTGTGTGAGACTATGCCCAGTCTGTTACATATTGTAATGTGAGACTATGCCCAGTCTGTTCCAGTCTTCAGACTTGGGTCCAAGTGCTTTTTGTCATTGGGGTTGACTGAAGTGTTACATTGCGCATTTGTGCCCAAGTTAACTATTTTGTGTACCTCCCTTGTTCTGTCACCTAGTGTTTGATATCTTCTATTCTCCTAATCATTAAGTTTTCTTATGTTATTTTGGGCCAGGTGATATGCATTTTAACCTATGTCTTTACTGTCGTGACTCTACATGTGCAGGTTTTGAACAGGCAATCCAATCCTATGCGATTCATGTACTTTCCTTGACATGCCAGAAGGTTCCAAGGCCTATTCTTGCAGAGGTAAGACATATTCCCTGTTTAATTAATGTTCAAGTTCTTAGAAGCATATTAGACGATAGGTGGGAGTATGCTTTATGTCAACTGTACCATAATCAATTTGTAATCTACAAAGCGTTGGATGTGAGAAAATATCTAATTGGTGGATCTTTTTGTGTCACAGATAATTATGAGTACATCTAGTGCTTCTAGTGAAATTGACTCAGATGATGATGACTTTATGGTGGCATACATTGCTTTGGAGTGCATGGGTAGTACAGGTAGAAAGAAAGCTGAAATTCCTATGACAATTCCAACTATGACTGGAATCCAGTGGGTTGAGATCACACTCCAAAATCCAACTGAATGCTATAACATGTTCAGAATGAGAAGGTCAGTTTTCCTACACCTTCATGACACCTTGGTAGAAAATTATGGCTTCAAAGCAAGTAGAGGAATGTGTACGAAGGAAGCCTTAGCAATGTTTTTGTGGGCATGTGGTGCACCTCAATCATTTAGGCAAGTGAAGAACAAGTTCACCCACTCATTAGAAACTATTAGCAGGAAATTTACAGAGGTACTTAAGTGTGTCATGCAGTTGGCTTTTTACATTGTGAGGCCTACATATCCACATTTTAGTTCTATACATCCTAAGCTACAAGAAGCTAGGTTTTGGCCTCATTTCAAAGATTGCATTGGTGCAATCGATGGCACACATATACCAGTAACTGTTCCATTGCATGAGCAACCTAAATACATTGGTCGTCATGGTTATGCTTCGCAAAATGTAATGGCGGTCCGTGACTTTGATATGCGGTTCATATTTGTTGTCACTGGTTGGCCCGGATCTGTGCATGACAGACGTGTCTTATTGGATACTCTAGTCACATACAAGCAACAATTCCCACACCCTCCCGAAGGTATGTATCTTTTGGACTCAAATCATTTTTTTGCAATTGACAAGGATATGAGGTGTTAAGTAACCTACAATTACAAAATGTAGGGAAGTATTATCTCGTCGATTCAGGATATCCTAATAAAAAAGGATATCTTGCACCATACAAGGGACAAAGGTACCATGTTTCTGAATGGCAACACGGTCGTACTCCAGTGGGATTCAAGGAGGTGTTTAATAATGCGCATTCAAGTTTGAGAAACGTGATTGAGAGGTCATTTGGAGTCCTAAAGATGAAATGGCGCATTCTCTTGAAGATGCCCAAATATTCCGTGAACAAGCAATCAAAAATTATAGTTGCTTGTATGGCCCTTCACAATTTCATTAGAGACAATTCCATAAATGATACTCACTTTCAATCAAATATCCAAGAAGAAGGTACAGATGGACCCGAATCCAGCTCGGATGAAGGAAGTGCTTCTGGAGATGATATGGATATGAGTGCTTTGCGTGATGCTATAGCCACGGCTATGGTTGGTTGATTAACTGTTGTATCGATCTCAATTTGTCCAGACTTTTGTTAATTTCATGTTGCCTACACATTAGTTATTGTCACAAACTATATTATGGAAACACAAAAAATTAGTACCATAACTGTTTTCAGCTCGTATTCAGTGAACAAATGAGGTGTCATCAGCCTCAGGGGCATACAGGTCATTTTGCACTCAGGATAGGCAATCTAAGGGCAATAATCAGGATTGACAAACACCCTCGATTGTTTAGACAGCAGATTCTTTTCGTCGCAGCTTATCAAAAAATCATAATCAGATTAAAATCGATTCTCAGATAAGCGTTCCCGAACAGGGCCAAAGTGACACACACCGTTCGTGCCAAAAAATGTGAAAGAAACTGGGACAGACATGACTCACCAGCCGTATAACATACGCAAACAAGGGAGACTGAACAGCACCGCACGCACCAAAAGATTCTGAACAGTGCACATACCTATTTGATTTTATTTTTTTTTTGAACTCACATACCTATTTGATTTGTACGTACATATGTAAGGCCGGTCCATTCTGGCGTAATCAGTGTCACGTCAGGAACCAATTCGCAGACCTGGACCGCTCGTCCGCTCCCATATTCGGTAAAGGATGCCCATCCCAGTTTGCATCAGGCATCAGGCGCGCCCATCCTCACAAAATTTTCAGATCCTTATTACTCGGGCGTGGACCGGGACCTCACCTCCACGCTGCCAATTTTACAGAGCATCTTCACAAAGATATGCTAATCCCTCAAGCCGCAGCCCGCCGGTGGAGCACCAGCCAGGCAGGCACCACCCACCAGGCCACCGCGGTGCACTCCTCTTGACAGATCAATCAAATTCTAAAGAGCGTCGTCAGGGGCCGTCCAATTCTTTTTCGCCCAATTACATTTGAACTATATAATTTTTATTCTCGTGTGCCCTGGAAGCCAAACGCACAGCTGCACTCGTAATGGTAGAACTCTACCTCTTCTGAGGGGGCAGGAATATATTAACATGTGTAATTGGTATTATGGTTAGTTTACAACAAAATCGTTTAGAATTTTTACACTGAATAAAACACCACTTATGCACCACGCCAATCAACCAAAATGCTACATACATTAGAAGAAGCATAGAAACAAGTATTATCTAGCTGAAACTACTTGAAGAAAAGACCCTTCTTTCTTCCTCTTCTCCTCTCAAGAGCCTGCGAAAGATAGACATCTCACGTCAGTGTTGAAACAGTAGGAAGATATAAATGCACACATGATGCACCAGTTTAATATCAGCATCAGCTCGCCATGTTTTTTCCACATCTCTTTAAAGAGTGGATGACACAAGGGGTGATCCTGGAAGCACATGCGTGCCAGGTCACCATTTGTACGGTAAATACTGTAATGCACTCTACACTGAGAGAACAAATTCTCTGAAAACATGTACGTTCAGGAACAACATGCAGTGGCATTTTGATCAGATGATGGAGCTTTCTAGACACCATCTGTGATGATTAAAAGAACAATTTATTTGATAAATAACAGATGAGGCACTCTTTGGGTGTCTTTCTCCAAAAAAAAAGGTTCATCTATTTAAATAGTATACTTGCCGGTATTAACCAAGATACAACATAACCTCTTATGTTATGGCATTCAAAATGACATAAGAGGCAACACAAAAATGGATTTCGGTGACCAAACTTAAAAGGTATTCAGAACTTCAGAAATGGTAACAGCATACAAGTCAACCAGCACAGCCAATCATACAGAACACACTAACAGCAACTTAGTAAGTCAATAGTTTTATAGTTGACTGCTAGTAGTGTTTTAGAGAAGAGGTGAATGTTGTGCGGTGCCATCAAACATGCTAATAATTTTAGGACAGGTACCACTACTGTTCAACCTGAGCTCTGGCACCAGTTAGTTTTTCAACTGTGAACTCTAGAACTAGAACTGTCCCATTTGCAATCTTGAACTATCAAGTCCGGTCCACCTCACACACACAACTGTGAACTCTAGAACTAGAAACTGTCCCATTTGCAATCTTGAACTATCAAGTCCGTCCACCTCACACACAGACAGGCAGGCACACAGAAGGTAGTTGTTTTCTGACTAAGTGCCCACTAGCACCAAAATGGGTGATTGCTGCTGTGCTGGCTAACTCGGACACCATGTGAATGAGTTTAGAAGATAGCTGTGTGTTACCTGAGTTCAGGCATTTGTAAGCACTCATGCCATAATGGTCTAGACCGAACTGAGTTTCTTCTTAATGCGAATACATGCAGTTCTCCTTCATGTTCTTTAAAAAAAATGAGATTTTTTAGGTTGTAAAGTGTAAAGTTTTATAGTTCAGTGTTCAAATCAAATGGAGGCCAAAGTTCAAGGATAATAATGAACTTTTTTCATCATGAAATATTACTCAAGAAGTCACAAGCTCTTGATACCCACTTATTGTTGTTGATGAGGATTAGCAATAAAGGGGGTCACTAATATGCTATGTCTTGTACAAGAAAATCATCGTACCATATTTTTGAACAACCTTAATACTAGAACAATGGTATCCCGCAACCTGCAAAGTTAGAACATGAAACAAGATAAGATGTAAATGATTTATGTTCAGCAAGGTATCAAAATTCCTCTAATATAAAGATCATAGCAATACAGTCACTTAAAGCATAAAGGGATTATCTAGTAGAGTACTCTGAGGGCCCAGGGCACAGTACTTGGTTCTGAATGAAATTTGGGATATCTTGATTAAAAAAGCCCATTATTTTTAATGGCATAACAAAATAGAATAAGAATAAATGTTTTCCTAATCTGGGGGTATAGGGTCCCAGACTGCCATACTTTCAATAGTACAAAATACATAACATAGAAAGGCGAATTTCAACAGTGCCAATTTAAAGAAGTGATGGTGCATGTTGTTATTTTTAAGACAATAGCAGAGATCGCTGCTGCTAATATATTTAACGAAGTAGGAATGTACAAAAACTGTGCTGCTAATAAAAGAAGCAGAGGCCTCATTTGGTACTCACAGTGTATTTTCTACTGGCTTCAGATCATAACTGGCACCATCAGCAGATGTAATCGAGAACTCTGTTGGACGCCCATATGGAATATGAATCTGGATAGGGCATTACAAGATTTGTTATAAGGCGCGCGCTTCATAAACATACAATATGCATGCACATGTTAGATCAATTATGTGAAATGAAAGCAGTTTCAAAGACACAGTTGAAAGGCAAACAAGGTGTCAGACTAGAAACTTCAAGAGCAAAATATGACAAATTTCAGGTGCATATGCACTAGATGGCAAATGTCACCTAGTGCACATGCACCCGAAGTTTGTCATTTTTGTATGAATTTTTCAATAAAACAATTTTGCATCTCTTTGCGACATATATCGTCTATGGCTTTTCCAAGTTTCATTTTTTTCCAAGCGACCAAAATATGTTTTTTAATGAGTTTTCAAGTTTGCAACACTTGTCCAGTTTTCATGGGATACGCAGCCTTATGAAGATAGTGCCAACGTGGATGCCTCTCTGTACAACAATGGTTAAAAACTAAACTAAATTATTATTGCAAAATTAAAAAACAAGAATATACAGCATTCCAGTTTCTGAAATAAAGTATGCTGAAAAGTAGTGACGTACAGCAGTTCCTTGCTGAAACTTCTCTGTGATAACAACACCACGCTGCCCATTACATTTAATGCTGTAACCTTCCCTCTTTATTGCCAACACAGCTGGTTCCCATATGTCTAAAAATCTGACCTGCTGTTGGAGAATTCAATAGTTCAGATAGTTGTGTGACATCAGAAGAAAGCAATAAGAATTGATAAGTAAATGTGTAATGCAAAATGACAGAGCATACAGGCAGTTGGACTTGGACTTCGTAGGTCACATGCCCAATTTCAAGGGTTCTCTTAATAAGCTCCTTTGTTTCAGGATCTGCATCAAAGATGGTTACTCAAATTCTTATGCAATGCAGCTACTATATAACTTATTATCTAGCATATAGGTATTAGGTACTCCCTCGATCCAAAATTATAAGGCATGCATACGTTTCAAAATTCAAACTTAGTAACTTCTGATCAACAATTATTCTAACTATACAAAAGTTTGCTGACAAAAGTGGTACCACTTGATTCATATTTGAATGTGCATTCCTATGTTTAAGATTTTGTAACTAGCAGTGATACTACTAGAGAAAAGTATGGTCAAAATCCAGCTTAGAAACAATGCCAAGTTAAGTCGCACCTTATAAAAAAGGACAGAAGGAGCATTACATAGTTGCACATATGGTTTACTAAAACAAAAAAACAAAAAAAAAAACAGAAATACCACTGTTCTTGGGAATTAAGGAAATACAAGGAGATCAAATTGTCCCTTTAGCCACTCTTCAAACATAATAATGGTGAGGTCTTCAAGTTTTTGCCCAATGGACACTACACCACTAGTTATCATAGTTTAAGACAGATCAACTGGATCAGCACATTGGATTAATATACATGAACTCAGCCAGTGTTAGATAGCACACCAAAATGTCTTCTACTAGAGCTGGTCCTAAAAAAGTTCTAAGGAAACACCACATTATCTCAGGTGTTTAAGTTCCTCAATTTGCACTTTCTATGAGAAAAACTAAAATGTAAATGGAAATAACATAATCACAGTTCACTGTTACCAAAAACTCACCACATGAAATTTTTTCTCTGGTCGTTGGCATAAACCTTGATAAAGTCTCCCTGCAACAGAAGGTTTCTAGAAGTATTAACAGCAGAATTTATAGTAGGGAATCAGTTTTCTAAAAGCATTTTAACTTGCAGCATATAATAACTCATTTGACATAGTATATTGGTGATGGTAAAGAAAGAAATTTTAACAGAACAATCACTTCTGCAGAAATTCATTGTGCATTTTTTTTTGGAGAGGAAACTCCGCCTATGGTGGGCGCCTTTGGTGTCCCAAAGATAGCAGGTCCCAAACCCACAGTAAAGGATGAGGGTTGTGTTAGGCACGGTGAGCCAATGTAAAAACTTAGCCACTTTTGTGGAGATGAAACCCAAAAGAATCCCGTTGAGGCGTAACCCTCTTAGCGACGCGCCATGCCGGAACCCGGGTATGATGTTAAATGAGCAAGGGCGGGTCGTCACCCCGTGACGACGCCGTGTCGCGATCTGGGCACAGTGTCAAGTAAGCAAGGATCGGATCGTCGCATCCTTAGTGGCGCGCCACATCGGCGCCCGGATGTGGTGCAAGATGAGCAAGGGTCTTCACACCTACATCAGCAGGTGCAAAGGGTAAGGAAGCTAGTTGAGCCAACTAGGATCCGTTTAGGTAGCTGGAATGTAGGGTCCCTTACGGGTAAGTTAAGAGAGTTAGTGGACACAACGGTTAGGAGGCGTGTAAATATCTTATGCGTCCAAGAGACTAAATGTAAGGGGCAGAAGGCGAAGGAGGTGGACAATACCGGCTTCAAGCTCTGGTACATAGGGACAACTTCAAATAAAAATGGAGTAGGAGTTTTGATTGATAAGAGCCTCAAGGATGGTGTGGTGGAGGTGAGAAGGCAAGAGGATAGGATCATATTAGTTAAACTTGTCATTAGTGATATGGTCTTAAACTTAGTTAGTGCATATGCCCCCAAGTAGGCCATGATGAGAGTGCTAAGCGGCTTTTCTGGGAAGACTTAGATCGCTTGGTTAGAGCTGTCCCTAGTAGCGAAAAGCTCTTTATTGGAGGTGATCTTAGTGGCCATGTAGGTATATCAAGTGCAGGTTTCGAGGCGGTTCATGGGGGCTTCGGATATGGTAGTAGGAACCAGGAGGGAGAGAAAGTCTTAGACTTTGCTATAGCTTTTGATCTAATGATAGCCAACACTTTCTTTCGTAAGAGACAGTCCCATTTAGTGACCTTTAGTAGCGGCCAGTACTTTAGTCAAATCGACTTTGTCCTTACAAGGAGGGATAAACGAACATGCGTGGACTGTAAGGTGATACCTGGAGAATGTGTGGTCGCTCAACACAAGCTGGTGGTGGCTGACTTCCGCTTTCTGGTGCAAGCTCGTGGGAACAAACAAGCTAGGATTGCTAGAACGAAGTGATGGAAATTAGAAGGGGAGGCATCTAAGGTCTTTAAGGAAAAGACCATTGAAGAGGGCCCTTGGAAGGATGAAGGCGATGCAAACAGCATGTGGGAGAAGATGGCAACATGCATTCGGAAGGTTACTTCAGAGGTGCTTGGAGTGACCAAAGGGAGCGGATGCGACTCAAATGACACTTGGTGGTGGAATGAAGATGTGCAAAAGGCTATTAAGGAAAATGAGTGCTATAAGCGCTTATATCATGACAGGTGTGCAAACAACATAGAGAAGTATAAGGTGACAAAGAAGATTGCAAAACGAGCAGTGAGTGAGGCAAAGGGGCCGGCCTATGAGGACCTTTACCAACGTTTGAGTACGAATGAAAGAGAGAAGGACATTTATAAGATGGCTAGGGCTCGCGATAGGAAGACAAGGGACTTCAATCAAGTCAAGTGCATGAATGATGAGAGGAAGCAGCTCTTGCTGAAGGAGGATGAAATCAAACATAGATGGCAAGAGTATTTTGATAAATTGTTCAATGGTGCGAACGAAAACACCGTTCGGTTGGACGACTCGTTTGATGACAATAGTAGGCGCTTTGTGCGGAGGATTCAATAATCGGAGGTCAGAGAAGCCTTGAAAAGGATGAAAGGGGACAAAGCGATGGGCCCTGATGGTATCCCAATCAAGGTGTGGAGATGTCTCGGGGATATAGCTATAGTATAGCTAACCAAGATGTTCAACAATATCTTTCGATCGAACAAGATGCCTGAGGAGTGGAGAAGAAGCATATTGGTACCAATCTACAAGAATAAGGGAGATATCCAAAGTTGTACTAATTATCGGGGAATTAAGTTGATGAGCCACACTATGAAGCTATGGGAGAGAGTCATCGAGCAGCGCCTGCGAGGAACGACGCAGATATCAACAAACCAATTTGGTTTCATGCCCGGAAGGTCAACCACAGAAGCAATCTTCTTAATAAGACAAGTTATGGAGCGGTTTAGAGAGCAGAAGAAGGACCTCCACAAGGTTTTCATTGACTTGGAGAAGACTTATAACAAGATACCAAGAAATATTATGTGGTGGGCTTTGGACAAACATAAAGTCCCATCAAAGTACTTCACCCTCATCAAGGACATGTACAACAATGTTGTGACTAGTGTTCGAACAAACGATGGTAACACAGATTACTTCCCGATTAAAATTGGACTTCATCAAGGGTCAGCCTTAAACCCGTATCTCTTTGCCTTGCTAATGGATGAGGTTACCAGGAACATACAAGGGGATATCTCTTGGTGTATGTTGTTCGTTGATGATGTAGTGTTAGTGGACGAAAGTCATACTGGAGTAAATAGGAAACTAGAGTTACGAAAGCCATACTGGAGTAAATAAGAAACTAGAGTTATGGGGGCAGACCCTTGAGTCTAAAGATTTTAGATTGAGCAGAACTAAAACCGAATACATGAGATGCGACTTTGGCGGAGCTGCACAGGAGAAGGGAGATGTGAGGTTGGAAGATCAAGTAGTGTCTAAGAAGGATACCTTTCGGTATCTGGGATCGATGCTACAGAGAGATGGAGATATTGATGCGGACGTTAGTCATAGAGCAGGGTGGATCAAGTGGCGACAAACTTCTAGCATTCTCTGTGACAAGAGGGTACCACAAAAGTTAAAAGGCAAGTTTTATAGAACGACGATTAAACTGGCTATGTTGTATGGAGCAGAATGTTGGCCTACAAAGATTCGACATATTCAACAACTGAGTGTTGCAGAAATGCGTATGTTGCGATGGATTTGTGGTCACACAAGAATGGACCGAGTTCGGAACGATGATATACGTGATCGCCTAGGGATAGCATCAATTGAAGAAAAGCTTGTCCAACATCGGTTGAGGTGGTTTGACCATATCCAAAGAAGACCTCCAGAGACACCAGTGCATTGTGGAGTCCTAAGCCAAGCTAATAATATGAAACGAGGTAGAGGAAGACCGAAATTGACATAGGGGAGACAATAAAAAGATATTTGAAAGCGTGGGATATACCTAGAAATTTATGTTTGAATAGGAGTGCTTGGAAAGCAGCTATTGAAGTGCCTGAACCGTGACTTGGGGCTCTTGGTGGGTTTCAACTCTAGCCTACATCAACTTGCTTAGGACTAAAAGGCTATGTTGTTGTTTTGGAGAGGAAGAAAAGAGGCAAATGGGGGACAATGTTTGATTACATGGCGTAAAGTTTGTCATCTCAAAGAGCTTGGAGGACATGGTATTCATTATCTTAAATCCTTTGCATGGGCCTTGAGGATGCAATGGCTTTGGTTAGCCAAAACCCAACCTGACATGTCATGGCCCTCCTTCCCTATACAAGTTCACGCTTCAGTCAGGGACTTCTTCCCAATCACCATGGTTTCTGTTGTTGGTGATCGCAACTCCATTTTAATTGGCTGGAAGGGACGACCATTGCTGGTTTGGCTCCTTGTGTCTTTTTCTCCATTCCAAAAGAAGAGAGAATAGACGTGCTGTGAGAGAGGTCTTGACAGATAACAGGTCAGGACATTAGCGGTGGTCTCACTGTTGCAGTCCTCTCTAAATTTCTTGATATTTGGGACCTCCTAACCGAAGTGCAGTTACATCTAGATATACAGGATGAGCAATTGGGCACCATTGGAGGTTCACGGAGAATGGACAGTATTCCACTAAGTCGATATGTAAGGACCTCTTTAATGGTGGTATACAATCTGCGCCATGCAACTTATTTGGAAATCTTGGGCACCTAAGAAGTGCCAATTTTTTCTTTGGTTGGCAGCACATAATAGATGTTGGATGGCTGACAGACACAGACTTGCCCGCAGGGGGCTTGCCTCATCCGGCTCACTGTAGATTGTACACTGTGTGATCAAGAGCAAGAGACCATATAAAATCTTCTGACAAACTGTATATTCTCCAGGCAGGTTTTGTACTATCTTTTTCGTCATTTTGGACTGCCAGACCTCTCCACAGGTTGAGGATGAGAATTTCTGTGACTGGTGGCTGAGGATCAATGCTTTGGTCAAGGCTTTTGGAAGCGAGGATTGAAATCACTGAGCACTTTGGGTGCTTGGATGATTTGGAAGCATAGAAATGATTGTGTTCAATGGTTCTGCACCCAGTGTCCAGGCAGTTTTTTTTCTGGAATACGCAGGAGAGCTGCGTATCATTGCATTAAGAAAGGGGATAAAAGGCTTATATAGCCATACAACAGCACACACACCAACTTTACACACCGTCTCTAGGTTACATACGCGCCTGTTAAAAATGTAAGAAGTCAACCTCCCTCAACAGGCGCTGCTAAACCCCAGGTCGAGCAGCGACCAGTTAACTAATGCCTTTAGCGCCTGCCAACCTCCAGAGAGCGGCTTCTTCTTGTGCAAGGAGAAGCACCCGCTGTATCCTAGGTGAGGCACCATTGAACACAATATCATTTCTCTCCTTCCAAAGCATCCAGGCTCCTAGCATGACCAATGAATTGAATCCTCTCTTGGTTCTTTTGTCAAGAGTGCTACCGGCTTGTTGCCACCAGTCAAAGAACCCAGTGACAGATGGCTGAGGTGCAATATCCGGGAGTGCAAAGGTGCGAAGTAATTGAAACCAGAATTGCCGAGAGAAGACACAGGAACAGAGGAGGTGCTGAATGGTTTCATCCTCTTGGTCGCAGAAGGGGCAGTGCTCAGGATGAGGAAGACCTCTTCTAGCAAGTCTATCAGCTGTCCAACATCGATTATGTGCAACTAACCAAAGGAAGAATTTGCACTTCCTGGGACCCCAATTCTTCCAAATTAGAGTGCTCGGCTCAAACTGGACTGCTCCAAGGAACAAAGCCTCATATGCTGTCTTAGTTGAGAATTGACCTGAAATGTCCAATTTCCACTTATGAACATCCTCAACCTCTGGCAGGAGTAATGTTTCCTGAACCAAGTCCCAAATGTCCAAGAATTCTGATAGGACCTCCACCGAGTGGTGCCCCTGGATATCATGTACCCACTGATTGTCCATTAGTGCTTCCTGAACTGTACGTTTCTTAACCCGCCTCTTGGGTACAGTTGCAAATAAATTGGGAGCTAATAGCTGAATAGAGGACCCTTGTAACCACCGATCAGTCCAGAACTTGGTGTTCGCCCCATTGCCGACTTCCGTAGTTACAGCAGCATCAAATAGGGCCTGTGCATTCCCATGAACTGTGACCGGGAAGGCTGCCCATGGCTTATCAGGTTCAGTTTTACTCAACCACAACCAACGGACCCTGAGTGCCCAACCAAATCTTTGAAGGTCTAAAATGCCCAAGCCACCAAGCTCCTTTGGACGGCTCACCTTGGGCCAAGCTAATAAACAGTGACCTCCTTTTGCCTCCTTCCTGCCTCGCCACAAGAAATTACGACGGATCTTATCCACCGCCTTTAGGCACCATGGAGGAAGCTCCAAGGCAGTGGCGAAATAGATTAGAACTGAGGTGAGAACCGATTGCACATATGTAGCACGACCAGCTCGATTCATCAACTCAGATTTCCAACCTGGCAGATGGTCAGCCACCTTCTCAATCAGAGGTTGTAACTGTGTCTTAGACAGCTTCTTGATGGAAAGAGGAAGGCCAAGATATTTGCAGGGAAACTCCTGAACTACACATGGAAAATGAGTCTGAACCACAGCCAAGTCTTCATTTGAACATTGAATAGGAGAGACACTGCATTTCTGAATATTTGTTCTCAGTCCTGAAGATGTGCCAAATAGCCGTAACAGTGCATCCACCACTTGCAAATCTGTGGCGACTGGGCGAAGAAACAGTACCACATCATCGGCATAAAGGGATACACGATGATGAATATTCCTAGTGGAAATTGGCTGCAGCAGCCCTTCAGTGCTCGCTTTTCAATAGGCAGTTTTGAGGAATGTTTTTGAAGAGGGACACCTTTAGTGTTTGGCTGTGTCAAGAGGGTTGGTGCAGCTTCACCTAGAGGTCGCTACTAGTAGTTTTGGTTAGGTTGGTTGATGTAATGGACATGTTGGTTATCTAAGCGTTTAGTGTGATGTGTGTGTGTGTTCTTGTAAATATTTCTCTATCCTTCTTAATGCAATGATATGCAGACACGCAGTTCTCCTGCAGATTTGAGAAAAAAAACCAATAACCCAGATATCAAATGTCAGGATGATTCTGTAACATTGACTGCAACTTCCACTACACCCCTAGAGTTATGACGAACATAAAATTCATATGCTAACAAACTCAATTTAGTTTCTAAGTAATATTTTTCCAGAAAGAGTCCCAGATGAAAACAAAATTACTCCCATGAAAATCTTTTTTCACACCACCAAATGTGAAAAGCATGTCTCTTGGCAAGACATGTGGACCATTGACTATGCTAGATAAGTAAATAACCTAAAATAAAGGATAATCAAATGATTCCACACTTTGGAAGTAAAAAACACAGGTCCATTCCAGCAGAAAGAAATTGCAGACACGATTTTGGCCCAAATCATATTTGTATTCTGCTCTGAAGTGAATGGGAAAACGAAAACAATGGTATTTGTTGTAAATAATTCTGTCAGCAAGACCTATGTGAGCAAGAAACGGGTGTTCGTAAAAATTCACAGTGCCGTGAGCGCACATGGCCAGGGCACCCCAAGTTTATCATTTGCTTTGAGTTAGTTTGGGTTGGTTTGATTTGTGGATGTTAGCTATGTGGATCGGTTTACAATTGTTGAGTGATTAGCTTGGTTTGCTAGAGCCACCTCTATGTTAAGAGCACAGCAGAATATTAGACGATAAAAAGGAATTGTATCTGGTTGTTCAGAAGCACTAAAGAAGGCTTAACACACCATCTCATCCCTGACTTTTTTTTTCTTGAATATGCAGGAGATATCATTGCATTAAGAATTTATAGAAATACAACGCACCCAAGACATATGGCTAGTTTGGTGGGTTGCAAAGGCAAGGACGCTGTATTGACTTACAATGGCAAAAGTGATCAGGGTAATTATTTTTTGATATTTTCTCATTTATGCCTTTTACTCATATTGATGGGATTAAGAGCTGAAATTGCAGTAAGGTCCCTTTTTCTGAGACCTACTTCCTATGTTAGAGCATTTCTCGTGATACTATTGCATTCTATTGCAACAATTATCTTTGGAAAGAAGTACGGCATCGTAGAACAAAGATCGATCATATGACAAGATAAGTACCTTTCTTTTCCTATCATCTAGGGGCTGGACTTCAATGGCTAGTAAAGTGTCCACATCATCGGCAGTAACGACATAGCTAGGCTGCTTTGCTCCTACATCAACAAAAATATAATTACAGACAACTTTATGAGGCATCATGACATCCTAGTTTTAGGTAACTCGGTCACAGAACATAAACTCTGGGTTAATGTATCAGCACACAAAAAAGAAGAGAAAGGGTACCTTCTATGAAATTTACGGAGCCATCTTCTAAATGGCGCACCCACTGCAGGCACAAATCATTTGCAAGAAGTGAAACCATATTGAAAGTTTGGAACTCACAATTTTAAGTGATGAGATTGAAAAATCATTTCACTACTCGGAGTGTGGATTGACAAGAAGTCAAGAAGTCAAGCACACCTCAAAATTACAAGTTGTGGTACCATTGGTGGGGTATCCACTTGCTTGAAGTTCTCGTCCAGGAAAAGGTTCACCTGTGATTCGAAGCCCTTCTATGCCTGGCAATGGATCATCCTCTGCAGCTGTATGTTCATAATAGGCATTTATGAATATTATCAGATGAATGTAGTGTTAAACAATACAAACTTAATTCAATAGTAATTACCTTCAGAGAAAGAAGAACCAGGCTCCTCAAGAACTGTAGGAAGATAAGGATATGAAGGGTTTGCATCCTCAAGGCCAGATACCAAATTAGATGAGTCCCCTGGACCCCATCGAGTCGAAGGTTCTTGTGTGTTTTGGGCTTCAGCACTCTCTGAACCATCCAGTATATCATTTCTGCTAAGACCCTTGAATGGTGGGTTTTGACTCTGAGTCTCAAAGTCAAAATGAACAGCATGGGAATCACCTTGAGATACTTGAGTAGGAACATCAGTCCTATATTGGTTTCTGAAAATCATAAAAAAAAATCATATTGTATTAGCATTTTAGTCATGACTCAAAATTAACTACGCAAAATGGTTTCCTAAATCTTTCATAAGAAAAGTTAATGTTATCGAAAATAGTGAAACAACAATATGAAGGGGGAAAGGGAAATTTGCTAAAAATAATGTCAGCTACTCAAGAAGTATTCATAGCTGTAGGTCTGTAGCATGCTCAAGACACTACAACACTGATCCAGAAGTTAGTAAGGTACATTATTGTAGACTCCTACAAGAGATGCTACCTGCTTGAAAGAGAGGTCCCTCCCATGTCATCATGTCCAGCATTTCTTGTAGGAACCTCATTTGAAATATCTTGATGGTTTTTGTTACCGAATGCACCCCAATCACCTCTAGCTTGAACAGGGGAAGACATTGGGGATTGTACGTGAGGATACACTGGCTGGGGGACAACATCAAAGCTGCTTTTGCTCTGAGAAAGCAAAGAAGTTGTAGGAAGCACATGACCATGTGTTAAAACTTGACAGAGTAATGGAAGAATGTGTATATATACTGAAGAGTCATATCATACTGTAGTCACCAATGCTTTTCCAGCAGGAGGATCAGTAGATACAGGATTGCTGGTATTATTCGACAATTCAGTATGCCATGGAGTAATCTGGTATCGAGACTCCCTTAATCTGTCCTGCACCATCCAAGTTTGCATACAAGGCAACTTCAAAAACATGACAAGCTCACTACTGGTACGGTATGCCATTTTGTATAAATGCATATTTTTGGTAGTTTAGTGTGGCTCACCTCGGTAACAATAAGTCGCTCCTGCAAATGCTTAAACAAAACCTACAGGGAAAGGTAAAAATGTCAGAAAATGGATAGCTCAGATACTGGTTTCAATTGAATTATATTAGATACAATGTAGAAAAAATTTGGTCGCAGGTAATAAAATTTTAATTGATCTCAGATTGCTTTGTATATGATTAACGCATGGCATGCTATGTTTGTTGAATACTTCGTACAGGGAATAGAAAATGTATAGCACTTAAAATCATTTCATCTTTTAACCTTATTCTCCCTTGAAATCCAATAATAAAGTAGTAACAATTCTGATGCATGCTAAATGACAGTACTCTTGCCACAGCACATACAAGAAAACAGAGCATACCTTTAAATTACTAACAATTGACTGAGCATCGAGAACTGAAGGCTGGAGGTCATCATATTCAGACAGAAGAGGAAGCAAAGAAGATATGAAAATTGATCTTTCTTGATGGGCTGCCTGGACAGTAACATAAGTAACACTTAGGATTGTTTCCATTTTTTTATTAGTAAATCCAAACAATGAACATACCATGAGATAAACTGATATTATTACTGTCCAGGAAAGACAAACTTACATCAGCATTAATAACAACCAACCCAAGCATGTGTATGGAAAGCACCTTATCTTACACTTTCATCCTAGTTTCATGTAAAAGTGTTCACTAGGGGGTGCTATGTTTGGAATGTGAGGGCTTATAAGGTGGTCACTAACATTTCTTAACTTTTCATACCAAACTAAACCCGTCACACTAAGACCTAGGAATACATGGGCTAACATTAATATTCACGGGCTGGGGTATTGAAAAATAGTTTCCATAAGAAACGACTGAACCACACAGCATAAGTGTACAAGCCAAATCTAGCTCTAGAACCTAGTACATGATATGGTGATATCTCAATGTATAATGTATACATAATTCAGGCACAATCATGGCAATGAATTATCCTACCTGGTGGTTAAGATGAAATAGTAAAATACGGTTGTTCGATAGAAATCATTTGGAATTCAGTCTACCTTCAGTACTAAGGAAAGACAATACAAAGAATCCCTATGCCAAACACTTGTGTCAAAGAGCTACAAGCAATCACGTGTTCATAACTATCTTCAGCTACTGCAATAAAGATTTGGCTATACAAATAAAGAATGCGTTGCATTCCGACTTGAGCTTGTACCATAGAATCGGCTCAAATTTTAAGTAAGCACTGAAATTGAACATTCAGACTTTTGGCAACAGAACAATTTTGTCATGCTACAACAGAAGTCATGCTATGATCGTACACATTTAAGGATATTTTACATAAGCGGGATGTTTAATTAAGATGGAAAACATGCATAAGAAGCATCAAGCTTGTGCATATTTGATATTCCAACTGTGAGCTGAGAGTCAAACGAAGATACAATTATACAATCCATCATATAGCACATGAAAGATACCTGCAACGCATACGTGAGACGGACGTTTTCCTCAATAATGTCTTGCCTGTATGACAAAGCTTTTGATGCTGCATCAATTAAATCTTGCTGCTGCTGGTCAAATGCCTGAAAACAACTATTAAGATGAGATGATAAACACACTCCAAGGAACTATTCACTTCCGATAGAATGAACATCTTACCATACGCATATAAGCAATCCGTTTTTCCAACTTGTATTTATCATCGAGTATCTGCGCTTCCTGTCAGGAGTTGTTTGTGGTCAATAGAAGCTCAAGAAGGAAAATACAGTAAAGTGGCCTTCACGTGTGAAAAATGTTTTACCTTCACAGAGTAATCAGCAAGATGCTTTCTTAATTGTGCAATCTCTTCTTCCCCTTCTTTGACCTTAACAGTAAGGTCCTGTGTAGGACCTATCACTGTTAGGAACAGCATATCATAGGTATGCAGAGTTGCGGATGGCGCTGAATGAGAACTAATTTACCTGCTTCCAGGATATGTTCGAGTTCATCTCTGAAACTGGTAATAACCTAGAATCATAATCTCCATCTTTTCTATGCCTGTAATGAACCTTTTATATCATTATAAGGCAACTAAAATACCATCCCAAGACAGAAACATAGACATGTGCTACTTTACCTATTTGGAGAAAGGGACCGAGATGAGGGAGTAGAGAATTGTGATGGGCCACCACTATCAACAGCAGTCTGTTCTCCTAATGATCTTTTAAATGCTCCATTTGCCTGGGGACTGTCAAGGTATTTTTGTTTCAAGCTTTCCTGAGTCAGAGGCTCTCTACTTTCAAAACTTCCATTCTGACGAAGGATCAAGGTACTCTGAGGATTTACTGAAGAGCTGGAGCCATCCATTTTATTAGAAACAGAATTGCGCTCTTGACCTAATCCAATGAAAGAACTTTGGGATGTAGCATCTTCGCTCTGAAAAATAAGGAAGCACATTCCAAAACAACCACTTGATGCCCACGAATATGCCATAGAAGTACAATTCTAGATGTTATATGTCAAGCAAGAGTTGTGGTTTTTCATCATGACGCAATGAGACAAGCTGCCAAAGCTGATTACAGCACAGCCTACAGAGACATTATTTTCAAATAAAACAAATCTATTGGTATGTTTGACACAGAAATATAAACATATCGAAAGCTCTAGTCAATGCAAGTACCATATCCAAAAAAGATTGTGGTAAAAAATGCTCGACTGTGTTGCTCTGTTGCTCCTTTACACCATTTTTTCTTTTTAGAGAAAAGGTCTCCGAGCTTTATTTCAAGGAAATAAAGCGCAAACGTGCAGGTTCTTAGAACGTATTCTAGGCGCATCCGCCAAAAGTATCTAGGTCTTTTACACCAATTTCGTGGAGTAGACGGTGGGAAAGACAGCCCCAGTACCAGTGCCCCTATGGTGTTGCACTAAGAAGAAACTCTCAGTCAAACCGACCGAGAAGACTGTTTTGGTAAAAGAGAACATAGTAAAACCAGTCACCTCGAACGGAACTTAACAGATTTCATCCTAAGCTTTGCCACTAACAATTTTCTGTGGGCATAAATCCCAAAAAGAAAACGTAGGTAGCAGGGAAGGTACATGACATCCTTGAACTTCAATAGGATGGAAATGGTAGAACGAGATCATGTGTGAAGAATATTATGCCTCTGGTAATACTAAAAGGATTTAAATTCTGCATGGAACAGAAACAGACTTACCATCCTCTGTAACTGTTGTGTTTTCCTCATCAACTCTTCCTTGAGCTGGTTATTCTCTTCCAGCTGAAATGGAATAAAATCACACGAAAAAAAATCAAAATAAGCTGGTATTTTTTTTATTACATTTTGGTTGTTGCGACCCGAAACTGGTCTGGGTTAGAGGTGAAGCGATGGAATTCGAAGAGACGGAAGGAAGGGAAGCGGGGGATGGAGCAGTTACCTGGCTGCGCATGGTGGCCTCGGCGCCCTCGACGGCGCGCATGACGCTGAGGAGGTAATCAGCGCTTGGCACACCGGCGGCGGCGGCGCTCTGGTCCTCCGTGTCGGAGAGGGATGCCGCGGCGAGGCCGTCGGCGAGGCGGTCCATGGGCGGGCGGGCGCGACGTGAGAGCTTCCCGCAGCGTAGCGTAGGGTTCGGCACTTCGGGGTGCGGCGGGTCCGAGACTCGTCTCTAGTCGGTACTCCACACTGCTTTTGCCGGTGGAATTTCGCGGAAGGAGCGGAAGCCCAGCGGTGGTGGACTGGACGCGACCCGCGGGAGAGCGGTGCTGCCGCGTGAGCGTGAGGACGGAATCGATTCGAAATATGGAATCGGAGTAGTTATTTCGAAAAGAAACGTGGAGCCGAATGGTGGAATTGGTCAGCCGCCGGGGACGGGGCGTCGGGCGCGGCCGCGGGGCGGGGCGCGGTCACGGGTGCCGCGCGGAGGATGGAACCTTGGTGAAAAAGGACGGGGAGGGGAGAGGCCGGGTGGGTTGGTACGCGCGGGCGCGGGTGCGGCGGAGATGATGGCGTGACTGCGCCATGGATTTCATGATGACGAACGCAATGAATGTGAATAGCTTTCATTCGATGCGCCCCGTGGCAGTGTAGGGATGACAAGGGAATGATGGTCGACCCTCTCTCGGCGTGCTTTGCTCGTCTTGGTCTTGCATTTCCCCGGGAGCACGCTCGCTTCATCGTCCCGTCTTGAATCGGCGCGTCCATTTTTGTCGTAATCTTCGAGACAGAGCTCCAAAGATCTCTGTCCGTATGAAATCTCCTTTGCAATTGTTGGCTAGACTTTCTCCAATAACTGTTACCTAAAATAAGACTCATTTCACGTTTAGATAACACTACAGATAAAGCGTTTAATACATATTTTTGTTTTTCTCCAACAACAAGACCCAAAAGAGAATTTTTTCTGCAAATGGATCTCCAGAAGATAGTACTCAAATTTGGGTTATACCTCTTCTGACACCTAAAATGGGTCTTCCATATAAGTACTCTGTTGTAGACTATAGATATTCTGTTGAACACCCATTTTAAGTCTGGGTCTCCTAATAGGTCTCCTGTTGGAGACAGCCTGAAGAAAAGCTATTAGCTCACTCTTATTGAATGGTTGATAGAATGGTATGTGTGTGTTTTGCAATGACATATAGCCCGATCGGCTGGAGCGGGCTGGCTGGGCTGGCTGGCCAGCCCCCTCACATGGATGCTATTCACATGAACCAGCCAGCAGTACTTCTCTCTCACATAAACGAACCAGCAATGATACGAACCAGCCAACCGAACAGGCTGATAATGGTAAACGTGTAGAAAGCGTAGCTAGTAGTGTGTAATATAGTTTTGTTTCAACGTCCTACTATAGAGAAATGTTATTACGCAACCGCCACGCGTATAACGATGGCGCGACCCCGCGCCTTCTTTCTCCCTCTCTTCTTCCTAACTCTGGCAGGCTTAGAAGGAGCTCGGAGGAGACAGGGCGCCCAGGTGGTGGGGCGGCGAGGGTGGTGGTTAGGGTTCCGGGCTTCCGGCGACGTAGGAGACGGCCGGGCTAGGCTAGGGCGGGGCGCCGATGGCCATGGCGGCGGGGGGAGGGAAAGAAGGAGGGCGCCGCGGGCGTGGTAGGGTCTCGTCGGAGCTCCGCGGCGACGGGGGGCGATGGACTGCGGCGGCAGGGTCGCGCGCTCGCCTGAGAGCGCAACGGGTCACGCATTAACTTCCCCCTTGCCATATATATAGCAGCAAGAAATTCCAAATAACTAGGTTAGTTTGTACTATGGCTAGTGTATATAACGGCTATTTGCTTATTCAATTGGAAAAACTTTTCCACAATCCAAGACAAAATTTAGGCATTCATCTATTGTGCATTTATGTGTTTTTTACTTTATATGTTACATTACATTTATGCCTTTTTCATTCCTGCGTTTTTCTATTCGCATGTTCCAAATACCGCCTCAGTTCTTGCATCTAGCATGCTAAAGTTAAAACAAGTTCAACCATTGGAGACTCCTATGGAATTAAATATAATACCATCTCATACAAAATGCGAGCATTTCAACTGCCAGTATAGCATTTTAAATTGAGTAAAATTCACTATTGATTCCCAGACTTATCCTGAGTTCTCGTCGAAATTTCAACACTCTCAAATTGCTTTTTAGCGCGCTAATCTTAGTTTACTACACCAAAAGCTGATCCAACTGCATCTACATGTGTTCGGTTGTTGACTTAGCATGATACCATGGCGAGGGTAGGAATTTTGTAGCCGTTCACAACAATGATAAATGCAAGCATTGCACACATACTACACACAACACAGCTGCCAAAAGCCTCTAAGTAAGACACAAATCTCCTTTTGCAATTGGTGCTGCCATTGACACCTACTCGCACATCTTGATTCATTGCTCCTCCAATCCCATGAATTGGCCTTTCATAATTTATGCAACTTCTTCTGGTATCAACCCTAGCCCAAACTTGTCCCTCACATACTATACATGGTATTCATTTGGTTTTATTGCTCTACAGAATTGAAAATTAGAAGCCACCACCAAAGATCATAGCAACTCCATATATAGAAAAAGGAAAGGAATAGAAGCAAACCTACGTTTTATTTGTTGGGAAAGTGAAGACGATATTGTTTGGATTTCTAGGGGTACGCGATTTGAGCTCCATCACCTTCCTCCATCCACAGAAAATAAAGGTTAAAGGAACATGTGGCCTCCTCGGTATCCTCATTGAAGAACTCAATGAACTTGAAACAAAAAACAAAATAACGGAAGAGGTGCGTGGAATGGCATCTAGAAAGGGATAGACAGTGAGGAGTAGACAACTAGGGTTGTGAATGGTTGTTAATGTGAGTTCTGCATGTCACGCCCCAAAAATAAGACAATGACAGTGTCGTATGTGTATGAAAATTTAAAATCCTCATACACACACAAGGCAAAAAGAGGCATCAAAATTCATACAATAAGCACACTTTATTAATACTTTGTGTCACGATTACAACTTATTGAAGTCTACATTCACAAGGCAGCTATCCTTGTTCTTTTATTTAGTGCAGCAAAACTACTCCCCTAGTAGATGTCACGGCTATGCCCACCCTATGTATGCATGTCTTTGTCAGTCCACCCAGCAGTACTACTCTCCCCTCCTTCTATGCGTGTCAACAAGAAGAGCTAGATGAGTATGTGTTTACACATACTCAGCAAGAATAATAAGGAGAATAACATGTGCGAGAAATAAATATAAGATGAATCATCAGCGATAATAACTAGTGCCAAGTCTTAACGTCACCATCTTCCTCCTATAATTATTTTATACAGTGTTACCCTTCGTCTGAGAACCATTCCATCTTCCTCCTATAATTATTTTATACAGTGTTACCCTTCATCTGAGAACCATTTTATCAGACACCCTATTTGTGTGAATCGTCCTTCACATGGACCACAGCCTGCCTGTGCATCACTATTTCAGGGTTGGTTGTCTCAGACTGAGTGCACCTATTACCTACCCAGATGACGACGACATCATTTTATGTGTCATACTAGTCAGTGGTGAACCATCTTTCACAGCTTATATAGAGCATAAAATATAGATCAGTTGCTCGGTTAAGAAGGTTAGTTGGCAAAGCCTTTACTCGTTAATTTATCTTGTAACTCCTCGCCGTAGGTGTTCCTGCTCCTACCCTAGTTGTCCGGCTTCCACTTCAGCAAGCCATAAGAACGAGTACACTATTGATCGATGTGTGTGTTGCAGGGGTTTGATCAATGTGTGTGTGATGCTGGTTTGGAGGGACGGAGCAGAGACTTTTATACTAGCATGGGAGTGTTTTATACGACGCTCGCAGTAAATGATCAAAAGATCAAACCGACCGTGTGAAAGCTCTAGTTTGGTTTTGGTGAATTAATGAAACCCTAAGTGCTAACCTAGTTTATCAAGTGATCATGAGATAGGTAGCACACTCCAAGTGGTGAAGGAAATGAAGATCATAGCATGATAAAGATGATGGCATGGTGATGATCAAGTGCTTCGACTTGGAAAGAAGAAAGCGAAAAACAAAAAGCTCAGGGCAAAGGTATAATTTATAAGAGCTATTTTATTTTGGTGATTAAGACACCTAGAGAGTGTGATCACATTTAGAATTGATAGTCGTACTATTAAGAGGGGTGAAAATCGTATCGGAATGCGGTTATCAAAGTGCCACTAGATGCTCTAACTCATTGCATATGCATTTAGGATCTAGTGGAGTGCTAACACCTTTGAAAATGTTTGAGAAAATATGCTAACACATGTGCACAAGGTGATACACTTGGTGGTTGGCACATTTGAACAAGGGTGAAGAAGGTAGAGGTGAAATAGAGTTGGTCGAAATGATGATGGCGTCAGTCTTCTGACCGGATGCTAGGTCACTCAGCGACCGGATGCTGAAAAGCTACGTCCGGTCGAGCTGTCAGACGGCATAGTGATTAGGGTTAAGCACCGAACGCTGGGCTGTGTCCGATCAAGCGTGACCAGACGCGTTCGGTCGGCAAAAATAGGATTTGGACCCTTACTGGAAACGACCGGACACTGAGGGTCCAGCGTCCGGTCAACATTTCGACCGTTGAGATCAAACGTTCACAGTTGAACACAGGTGACACGTGGCCGCCATCGGGCGACCGGACGCTGAGGAGCAGCGTCCGGTCAGTAGGACCAGAGCGTTCGGTCACCCCGATCAGTGCCCAGTGAAGGGGTACAACGGCTCTATTTCGTGGGGACTTCTATTTAAGCCACATATCCGGCTCAAGCTCACCCTTTTGGCCATTTGCATTGACATAGCAACCTTGTGAGCTTAGCCAAAGCCCACCCACTCATTTCCATCATAGATTAAACATCTTTGTGAGATTGGGAGAGAATCCAAGTGCATTGCTTGAGTGTTTGCATCTAGAGGCACTTGGTGTTCGTGTTTCGCTGCGGAATTTGCTTGTTACTCTTGGTGGTTGCCGCCACCTAGACGGCTTGGAGCAGCGAGGATCATTGAGTGGAGGGTGGTGATTGTCTCCGGCTCCGATCGTGGTGATTGTGAGGGGTTCTTGACCTTTCCCCGGCGGAGCGCCAAAAGGTACT